GAGAGGCAGAGGAAGAGGCTGCGCAGGGTGGGGTGGCGCAGCAGCTCCAGTGCCGAGGTGGAGCCTGGGCCCATGGTCAGCTCCTTCTGCAGACTGGACCGGAGGCCCTGCCAGGACGGGGAGGGCTCAGGGCCTGGGCTCCCCGAGGAGCTCCTCCCAGGCCAGCCCCTTACTCAGGGAAGCCCTCTGGGTCCTGAGACCTGGGTTCTAGGCTTGGGGGTGGAGCCGGGGGGTGGGATGGGAGGTGAGCTTCCTAGGGGCCTGCGGTGGGGTTTACTTAAGTCTGGGAACCCAGGGGCTTTGTCAAGTCCATCTGTCCGGGACCACAAAGCAGCGCCCAGCTCGGCGAGGACTCATTGTGCGGCAGGAAGTCAGTTCTTGTGTGCTGGGGAGAGGGAGCTGCACAGGCAGGCTGGGGGGGAGGGGAGTGTGGGGAGCTGGGGAAAGCTGAGACCTGGACGCCTTGGGCCAGATCCTGCCCCCACAGCCCCGTCCCTGGCTGTCAGGCTGAGGCACGGCCTGGCTTTGACCTTCTGGCTTTGACCTCTGATTCTGAGGGGTGGGTGTTCGGTATGATCTGGGGGATGTCTTGTCCCTGGCAGTCCTCTGGGCTTTGGTGGTGCCCCCGCCCCACCCTGGGCCCCACGCACCAGGAGTAGACGAAGGAGACAAAGAAGGGCACGGAGACCAGCAGCTGCAGGTAGCGCCAGTGCGGCACGGCGTAGGCCGCGCCCGCCAGGACCAACTGGCCCAGGCTGAAGACGTAGCCGGCCAGCGTGCTCACGTACGCCCGCGTGTGGATGGGCATCCACTCCATGTCTGGAAAGAGGGTTAGAGCAGAGTGGGCCACTTCCCGACTGCCAGGGGGCGGGGCGGGGCAGGCAGGACCCTCTGCAGGCACACCTCGGTCTGGCCCAGGCTCAGGGAAGATGCGTCAGAGGAGGGCGGGTGCCGTGGGGGGAGGGGGGAGACCAGTGGAGGGAGGGATGGGGGGTGGGGGTCCCCAGGAATTGTCCCCTCCTCTCCTCTGCTGGGCGATGGCTCCGCCCTGCGCTACAGTCCTGGCTGGGGCCTCCTTTCCCTCAGGGGGTCCCTGACCACTCAGTGCAACCTCAGCAGCAGCCGCTGCCCTGGTTTTGCCAGCCTGGCCGGACCTTAGCCTCGGTGGCCAGAGCTGGGGGGAGCCGTGGCTTCCCTCTGCCCTGGGGAGCGGATGGGAGTGAGGGCAGCCCTGGGTGATGGAAGGCCCCGCCCTTTGCTGGGCTTGGGGGCTGCCCTCTCCAGGTGTCCTGCCCCAGCCCTAGCCCAGTCCTGGCTAATTCCTTCAGTTCAGAGAACCCTAGACCCTTAGATTCCCTTCTGGGCCGGAGGGGTGACCTCGGGTAAGTCCCCTCCCTCCTCCCCGGCCTCGGGCTCCTCCTCTGGGAACCACGGGCTGGGAGACAGGGCTATGGCCGGGCCACGCTCAGTCCATAAATGTCTGTTCTACACGAGGCCGCCTCGCCCTGTCAATAATACTGGGATGAGTTGCCACATTGGGAAATTGGGATATTTTACATAATAAAAGGGGGTGGGGAGGCCTGTCGGGGGGACACCCCCTGGCTGGGGCCCTCTGGATGGTGCAACTCTCCTCTGGGTACAGTCCCCCCGGCTCCCTGAGGCCTCCTGCGCCTGGTCTGCTGCAGTCATCACGGGGCGGGACCTGCCGGTGCCTAACGACGGCGTTCGCAAGCCCATGTCTGAATGGGGGGTCAGGATGGTGGGAGCCCCCGCACCCCAGAGGCTATGATGCTGTCTGAAGGGCAGACCCGGAGGCCAAGGCAGGCAGAGCTCAGGAAGGTGGGCTGGGCGGGGGCTGAGTAGCGAGAGGAGAGGGGGTAGGGACCCCCCATCTTCCCAGCAGCCCTCACTCAGGGTCATGCTGTTGAGGATGATGCCAGATGTTGACATGCCCGAGAGGAGCCGGAAGGCACAGTAGACGGGGAAGCTGGGAGCGAAGGCTGTGCAGGTCCCCGACGTGGCCATCTGCAGGTGACTCAGGATCAGCACCTTCCGGCGGCCCAGCCTGCGGGGAGGGAGGCCCTGCACCAGGGTCCTGAGGACCAAGGCGCGGGGCTGGGCAGGGGCAGGAGTCTGGGCCCGGAGGTCCTGTGGGGAGAATGCCAGCCTCCCACGAGGGCTCTCCGCCCAGCCCAGGGGCCCCAGTCCCAGCCCCGCCCCTGGGCCCTGCCCAGGACTGACCTGTCTGCCAGGTGTCCGAACACGATGGCTCCGAGAAGCACCCCCACCATGTACAGGGACTGAGCCAGCTGGCGCAAGGCCCTGTGCGAGCACACGAGGTCCCACTGGGGGAGAGGGAGAGAGGGGGAGAGGGGACAAGGGTCAGGCGGAGAGGAGCCTGCGCCGCAGCACAGCCCCTGCTCGGCTGGCCCTCCGAGGCCCGGCCCTCTCCCCTGACACTGCTCTTCACTGTGGTCTCCCGGGTCCCAGGAGCCGGCAGGCTGATCTGGACCCCCCAGTCCACCTCCCCCCCCTCCCCATCTGGAACGCCTTTCTCTGTCTTCCATTGCAGCCCCTGGCTGATGTGCGTGCGTGTGTGTGTGTGTGTGTGTGTGTGTGTGTGTGTGTGTATGTTTCCGTCTGCCTGTCGGTCTGTCCCAGAGGGGACAGTGGATGGTGCGTGGAGAGGCCCCGCAGCCTCACCTCGGTCACGATGGTGGAAGGGAAGGTGCTGTTGTCGTAGATCCAGCCGTTGGTGCAGGGCTCCGTGGCCTCCGTGCCGTTGGCCTCTGTGCCGTTGGGGAAGGGCAGCCCCCGTTGCGGGGAGGTGAAGTGGAGGCAGGACT